AAAAAAGAAAGAAGGAAGGAAGGAAGGAAGGAAGGAAGGAAGGAAGGAAAGAAAGAAAGAAAGAAAGAAAGAAAGAAAGAAAGAAAGAAAGAAAGAAGAAAGAAAGAAAGAAAGAAAGAAAGAAAGAAAGAAAGAAAGAAAGAAAGAAAGAAAGAAAGAAAGAAAGAAAGAAAGAAAGATTCGGCCTACCCAATTGCTAAAGTTAATCCATTTGTTAAAAACCACCCACTTAAGCAACCCTGGCTCTCTTCCCTTAGTGGGCGTTTTCTCTTCCTGTGTCTTTCCCTCTTTTCCCAGCGCAGCCCCCGCTGTCACAGAAGCCCACAGGCCGTCCTTGAATTACAACTATGTCTTAGCGACCCTTCAGAGTCGCCACAGCCCCCTTAGCAGTCCCATGGTCCCCCCCCCCCGCCCCCCCCGTCCCTAGTTGCAACGGCTGGAGCATCCCAGGGCTGCCTGAGCGCATCGAGCACCTGGCTTAGCCCGTTCTGCTCCCAAGGAAGCCGAAGACTATCGTTGTGGCCTAGGAGGGTAATTGAGGCCTCAGCTAACAAGCGTTGGGTTTGATAAACTATTTTGTCCCTGCCTTTTATTTATCTAAAAAATGAATTATAAAAGAAATCCACCTTGACGAAGAACGACAAAGCCTTCCAACAGCCCTTAGCAGCAGATCGATAACAAGGAATAAAAAACAGCTCTTGGGAAGAGGGAAAGGGAGGTGATAGGAAGCAGGGAGAGAAGTAAGTCTAAACAAACCAGAAATGACAAAAAAGGAACCCGGGTAAGAGGTTAAAGCATATCGCAGGCTGGCTTGGAGCCAACAATCTTGGTTTGGTCACCATAAAAGCCACAGGTCAGGGGCCTTCAAACTCGACAGCTTTAAGACGTGTGGACTTCAACTCCCAGAACTGTTCCTGAGGTCATGTTAGCTCAGGAATTCTGGGAGTTGAAGTCCACACGTCTTAAACTTGCCGAGTTGGAAGACCCTTGGCACAAGGGATGGATTCACACGTTCATCTTTTGGCCCCTTTGGAGAACCAAACCTGATTTACATTAACCATCATTCTGCTATTATGTCCGAAATGAGAAACCATCATTGAATAGGATCCTGGGTTAGTAAAACTTACCTGAAACCACAGTTCGTTGTTCTGGGCATTACATGTCACAGTGGCCCAGTATCGAGTCATAGACCCCCACCACCGCCACCAAAAAAACCAATGCAATGTTTGGAACTTGAGAAGGCCTTCAATTAAGGACGTCGCTCCAAATTACAACCTTCTATAACCAGACTCAAAGTCAAAAAACCCCAGATAGGAATGTATGGATGCTAGATTTCAAACCACGGTTTCAAAAAGCTACGTTTGTCATGTTATATAGACTCCGGGATAAACCACAATAGCAAGTTTGCTAGGATATGCTAATAGATGGATTGTGTTCCGTTGCATGAAATGATGATGAAAAGAGGTTGAGATTTTGGAAAAAGTGCAGAGAAGAGCAACTAAGATGATTAAAGGCCTGGAGACTAAAATATATGAAGGATGGTTGCAGGATTTGGTTTTGGCCAATCTGGAGAAAAGAAGGGCTAGCGGGTGAGATGACAGCAGACTTCCAAAGAAGAGGAGGGTCGGCTTATTCTCCAAAGCCCCTTCAGAAGGCAGGACAAGAAGCAACGGATGGAAACTGACCAAGGAGAGAAGCAACCTAGAACTGAGGAGAAACTTCCTAACAGGGAGGACAATTAATCAGGGGAACAGAAGTTGCCTTCGGAAGTTCTGGGTGCTCCATCATTGGAGGACTTTAAGAAGAGACTGGACGGTCGCTTGTCTGTTGGAGCAGGGGGCTGGACTAGAAGACCTCCAAGGTTTCTTCCAGCTTCTGATTCTGATGAGAGTGGGGAAAGCCCAAGACTTATTATCTTCTGCCCTTGGCGTGGGAAGACGCTTGGGAGAAGCAACTGAGATAATACACCATTGCTCCATCTGTGCTGCACCAAGGCCCTCATATGAGGGGACAATGCACAGATATACCGCCTCCCTGAGATTAAGATATGCCAAGAAAGGAGTCTATCTGTAGCTCAGGGTTGAGGTGAAGGGTCCTTGGCACGCTCTGAGCTTGGCTGTTTTCTTGGAGAGATTTCACTCATGACGTTATCTAGCTTGGGCAATCAAACGCCTGCAAGAAAACAACCAAGTTAGGATATGTTCATGGCCAGAAGCAAGCAGGAGATGAACCACAATGCACTCAACGAGAGGGAGGGAGGGAGGGAGGGAGAGAGAGAGGGAGGGAGATCTCACCCTCCCTCCTAAGATGCTTTTTCCAAAAGACATATATAAATCCACTAAACTGTGTGAGGAGAAGAGATCAGCGAGTGTTTATATCTCACACTTAATCGGCGAGTGTCTATATATAAATAAATACTCACTGATTAAGCCATAGTCTGTAGTTACACCGCACCCAGGACACCATTGGGAGCGCTGTAAACCACAGCTGAACTGTAATTCATGGTCATGGACTCAGAGAGATGCCTCCCATCACAGCTTGTCAGTCCTAACCTGATGGGAAGCTTTCTTGCGATCAAACCTGAGTTATTTTGTAAGCCAGGCAGAGAAGAGTAACCTTGGTAACATAACTATTAATTCGGTTAGAAAACAAGAGTACAAAGAGTTCAGTTTGCGTGCATCTCCTAGAAAGTTGGGTTGTTTTTATTTATCAAGCCATTGCAACACTAATTTTGCTGTTATGCTCCATGAATTGTTTTGGCTACCTCCTAATAGGTGAAGGTTTAAGACAGTCATGAATGTTTAATTTAAAAGGGGTGGGGGGGAGAAACAACAACAACCAGCCAATTAATAATCCTTGAAGAGAAGGCAGTTCAATAACTGAACATTAAATCTCTTACGCCGATTAGGATGATTACTTCTCGGCCCCTTCGTTTTGAATCATTGATTTTTGCCCCCAAAGGTTTTCTTTCTACACTTTTTGTCTTATAGGCATACGATACAAATCATAACAACTGGATTTTACAGACAGGCCAAATCAGCGCATTTGCAGACAGGTCTAAAAGAAGCCCCAACCTCAGCCCCCCCCCCCCCAACAGAGCCCGAACTTTGAAAGATTTCTGCAACTCGGATTACACAAGGTAAGTTAATCGGGGGACTGCCATGTGGTCCTTTAGAATTTGAGGCCAACTCCTGCTCCGCTTGGGTGGAGGAGGAGGAGGAGGACGGGCCCAAGGGAAAACAAAAGGAGACGAAAGCAGGATCTGAAATCCAAGCCAGAGTTTGTAGAATGACAGAAGAGGAGGCGACGGAAAGCCCCCCAGGAAGGAGGACTTGGGTCACTGGAGGGAAAGGGCGGAGAGAGCGCAGCACGGCACCACGGATGATCCAGCTCTCCTACCGACCCACTTGCCACGAATTAAAGGCTGCGAGAAGCGTAGAATCAATGCGCAAGCCAGCACTTTGCCTAATCTGGGATCCTTCAAGTACAACAGCCCAGGGATCTCCAACTCTGGTGACTTTTCAGGCTTGTGGGCTGCAACTCCCAGAGTTCCCCCAGTCAGCCATGCGGGCTGAGGAACTCTGGGAGTTGAAGTCCACAAATCTGGCTGCATAAACGAGGGCTCTCCAACCTTGGACACTTTTAAGGCTTGTGGGCTCCAACTCCCAGAGTTCCCCCAGTCAGCCATGCGGGCTGAGGATTTCAGGGAGTTAGCTGGAAGTCCACAAGTCTTAAAGCCGCCAAGCTTGGAAAGCCCTGCAGTAGCCTACAACCTCCTCCACCTCGCCTGGTCAGCCCTTCTGGCAGGGGAATGATGCGAGGCGTAGCCCAACACACCAGGCTAACTGCTTAGTGGGTGGAAAGGGAGCCCCCAAGCCTGAGCCATGGCTCTCGATGACGAAGCAGCAGCAGCAGCAGCAACAGCAGCAGAAGAAGAAGCAGAAGCAGCAACAGCCTTGCGCCGTCTCTTGCCTTGCCTCCTGCAGAACTCGGCCCTGGGCAGGGTTTGTCTGGGCTATGGGCCTGCTTCTGTCCTGCTTCTTCCAGCTCTGGCCATGCCTGTCTGGACCGCACCTTGGCCTTGGCACCTGGCAACCAAGAGCAGACCTCCGCTGAGGCCTGACGAGAAAGCAACAGGCTTTAATGGAAGTCCACCGTTCCCCTTGAAACCAACAAAAGAGCAAAACAAAGAACAAGAAAACCAACCGCAATGTGGTTGCAAACTGGACCGGCGAGGGAGGGAGACAAGACAAACCAGACGGGGGTCTTTCATCGGCATCTGGATTCCTTTGCTGGGCCTGGAGGGGGTTGGGCTCCTTCTGGGAGCACGGCGCGCGAAAGGGAACACTCACCAAGTCCGATTCATCGCCATCTTCCTCTTCTTCAACAGAGTCCGCAGAATCTTGTTCCTCCTCCGACTCTCCGTCCACCATCTGCGACGGACAAAGAGGAGTTCACGTGAGAACAGAGAAGGCAACTGCTGGTGAAAGGATGGAGCAAACCTTCCTCGTGTAATTAATCAATCTCTTATGCTTTTACATTTCTAACTTCTGCTAGTTAGCCATCGATAGAACAAATACTGTGTTAAAAAGTATTGAGTTCTCCTTAATTTTAAGTGTTAATCTATCCATTTCCGCACATTCTAATATTTTTTTTATTACATTTTCAGATCTGTAGGCTGTTGAGTCCACTATCTTGGCCTGTATGTCTATGGAGATTCTCCATCATCCAGTCATGGTTTCCCAGAAGGAGCTTTGCCAAAAAGCCAATCGGACTTTCCTTGGGTTTTATTCTTGAAAACATTTCTTTTCTCATCCAAGAAGCTTCTTCAATTCTGAACCTGTTGTGGCCCACCAGAGCCAGCGGAGCTGGTGGCAGACTTGGACAGTGAGGAGGTTGGGGAGGAACCTGGGCCAGTCCTGGAGTCTGGGGAAGGCTCTGACGAGGGCTCTGCATTGGAGGCAGAGACGGGGCCAGGGCCGCCCGACAGTTATCAGCTGCCTTTGGAGTTGGAGATCAGTGAGGCAGAAGAACAGCTGGAGCCTGTTCCCAATATGCCCATGCGCAGAGTTGCCAGGAGAAGGGAACAACTAAGGAACAAGGGTCGACTCGGAAGTAAAGGCACAGGTGGACGGTGAATGGCCCCTCCCAGAGGGAATAAAGGGGAGTGAAAGGGGAGTGGGCTTTGCAGGAGACAATTAGTTCAATTCATTAGGGTGAAGATCTGTTCCTGACTTCTTGCCAAGTAATTGCTGCTACAGAGTGGCGTTTGGAAGATATCGGCCTGGCAGCTCTCCCAGTCTGATAAAGGTCTGGAGTTGTAAAATCTCTTGACAGACTGTTTGCCAGGACTTTGCTGGAGAGGAATTCGCTGTAACCTAAATAAAAGGGGTTTTGTCAGTACGAGGAGTCGGCTTCATGCTTTTGGGAAGCCTAGGTCAGAACAGAACCGAAGAAGCTTCTTGATGAGAAGCGCAATGCTTTCAAGAAGGAAAAAAAAACACAAGGAAGTCCAGATGCTTTTTTTTTTGGGGGGGGGGGGGGACTGCACTTTTGGGGCTATTACTACGTGAAGAGGTGGAACCTGGTATCTCCCTAAATTAGGAAAGTTGAAAGGCCAAAGGGCCAGCACCTGTCTGCATTCTCATAATGCCTCAGCTGGACTGGGGATGCTGGTTTCGAGAAGGTGTGCCACAAACTAAACCTTGGAGGGCACCCACAGCCACATCCCCCCACGCAAGGGGCCACATTCTCCAGAGGACCAATAGAGATCACCTTTCTGGTATTGCTAAGGTCCGCCGAGTCTCTTTCGTTAGCGGTTCTGTTCTCCTCCATGGGAAACGTGGCGACCTGGTCAGCTCCGCGTTCATCTTCTTCCTCCAGTTCATCGGAGTCGTCTTCTTCGGAATCAACCTCCAATCGTTCCCCGTTCATGTGGGGGCGGCCCTCGTCCTTCTCAGCCTGGAGATTCCCACACACAAGAGTCAATGGTGAGTCCAGAGCTCCCGGACATTCCCATGGCCCTTTATTTGGGACACTTTTGTGGAACGGAGAAAGTGACATTAGGGTTATAAATTAGCCGCCTTCCAATATTTGAGGGGCTGCCCCAGGGAAGATGAAGGGGGCCGAGCTATTCTCCAAGGCCCCCAAAGGCCAGACAAGGAACAATGGACAGAAGCTGAACAAGGAGAGAGATTCAACCTGGAAAAAAGGAGAAACTTTCTGACAGGGAGGACAATCAACCAAAGGGGCCTTCGGAAGTGGTGGGAGCTTCATCATCCCTGGAGGCTTCCGAGAAAAGGCTGGACTTCCCTCGGTCAGAAATGCTGTAGGGCAGTGATGGCAGACCTTTTCGGCTCCAAGGGCTCAAACTGGAACGCGGGGTGTGCATATATGCACGATCCTGAGCACTGGAAACCCAAAGACCAGCTGGCAACGGTGCTCATGCCTGTTTTCAGGCTGTTTTCTGGCCCATTTTCAGGCCATTTTGGGCCCCAAAACCAGCCTGGAAAACAGCCTGAAAAATGGCCTGTCCGGGGCTCCGGAGACCGCAAAGAAGACGTGCGCGCCAGAAACCAGAAGAGCCCCTGGCAACGGATGTCGTGCCATAGGCTCACCATCATGGGTGTAGGGGGTAGGGGCTGGACTGGATGACCTCCAAGGTCCCTTCCAACTCTTGTTATTCCGTTCACTAAGCAGTCCCTCTAGTTCCAAGGTGTCTCCAGGGATTAGCCATGGCTCTCGACAGGCTCCAAGAGGTGGCCGTTTCCCAGGGGGACCTGAGAATGCCAGGAACTCAGGCGGGGTCTTTCCAGGCGCAGGACGCCTCTTCTCAGGCTGAGCCATCGCAAGACGGCTTGCTGGCTCAGGCTCTGGGTGTTCTGCAGGCCCAGCCCATGAGGGTCAGGGGGCCTTCGTGAACCAAGCCAGGGCTCTCTCTCTCTCTCTCTCTCCACAAATCAGGAAAAAAGGGGCGGCAGGGGAAGACAGACAAATCCCTCGGTCATTTTTCTGAGCTTTATTGGATCGGCAGATCCCACGTCACGGCACACATTCATGCATCTGATCACCTTCTTCCCGCTTCTCACCTTGCCGCCTGGAGAATGAGCGATGCTTTTGAACATCTCAATCACCGTCCTCTGCTTTAAAACTTTGGTCTTCTTCTTGGGAACCAGGCTATACGTTCCCATCCTTCGTTTCTTCTTCCGAGATACTGAAGTAGCTGCAGAGGAGGAGACGGAGAAAGGACCGTCAGGGAGGAGGAGCAGGGAGAAGGCAGGAGACACACTGCCCAGAGCAACAACAGGCTCCCCACGCAGCTTCTTTTCTTCCTTTCTCTCTTTTTCTTTCTCTCTCTCTCCTTCTCTCTCTTCCTCTTTTCTGTCTCTTTCTCCTCTCTTTCTCTCTTCTGTCTTTCCTCTCTTTCTCGTCTCTCTCTCTCTTCTCTCTCATCTCTCTTTCCTCTCTCTCTCTTTCCTCTCTGTCTCTCTCTCTCTCACACACACACATACACAGAGGGAAAGTGCCAAAGATCTAATACCAACTGCTCTCTGACTGGATCTGATAGAATCTGGGAGCCACTTCCTTCAGACACTTGACAGAACTTGGAAATGTGGGAGGATAAGGATCTGGAAGAACCCCAGATCACCAGCCTCTTCTCTTCTCAGACCACTCCGCTTCAAGCTGAGCTCTCTAAAACCCTTGAGCCTTCCTCCTTTTACCTGTCTGTGATTTTGAGGCGCCCACGTAGCTCTGATTCTGAGGTAGAGATGAGTGAAGGCCGGGGATGGAGGACAGTGAGGCGGGCTTTCCGAATTCCAGAACGGCTTTGCTGCCGTCTTCCTTAGGCGTCCGTGTTTCTTTGGGGTCTTTGTTGGTATGCTGGAAAACAGGAAGGGGGATTGTTATATTTTGAGGGGGGGGAGGAATTAAAGAGTGGGAAACCTCACTTAAAAGGACGCAGGAGGAGGGGGGGAAATCCGTTCGGTGAAAGAATATTGGGTTAGGATAGAAGCAGATCCCAAATAGGGGCAAAGAGTGGAACTTCATATATAAATCGGCATGTAAACCGAAGGGCTATTGCATTGCTTCCTCCCTTCCTTCCGTGGTGGTGCAGTGGTTAGAATGCAGGACTGCCGGCTGGCTGTGCCAACTGCCAGCAGTTCGATCCTTACCGGCTCAAGGTTAACTCATCCTTCCGAAGAGGGTCAAATGAAGACCCAGATTGTTGGGGGCAATTGGCTGACTCTGTCAGAGAGGGCTGTGAAGCAACGAGAAGGGCTGCCGCTACGGCTATATACATTACCAGGTGAGATGGAGACTTGGGCATGGTCTTCCGGGCTCGGTGCACCTTGATCCCGCCTGTTTTTTTAGCTTCCGGGTCCTTGCCGCCCCCGTCTCCAAACTTGGCCGGGAGAGAGCCCTGCGCTTGCATAAAGGGGCCCAAAGTTCTCCCCTTGCTCCCTCCGGCGGGAAGGGTCTTTGCGGCGTGTCCTGGCAGGGCAGCAAAGCCACTGTTCGAAGTCCTGACGGGCAGGTCCTGAGCCGCCTGCTTGGGCAAAATGTACCCATTGCTGCCCGTCACCGTGGTCTGGGTGAAGTCGTTGGCCTTGAGGTGGTTTGGCTTCCCGGCATCCCCGTCTCGTTCAGAAAATCCGTTTTCTGCTATCCGGCTCAGCTTGGCCACCGAGTCCCCTTGGCTCAATTTTGCATTGTCCTGAGTGTTCTTGGCTACGCTGGGGTGGCTCTTGAATTCGTTGCACTCCAAGGAGCCATTGGTCTCACCATCGGGAGCCATCTTGAGTTCCCCAACTTGCTTGTCTATGGCGCCATCGCCGGCGGCCATAGCATTAAATCCTAGAGAGAGAGAGAGAGGAAAATGAGAAAATGAGGGGAAGCCAAGAGGAAAGAATTGCAGATGTAGGCTCAAAAAATCAGGACCCCCAGTTAAGTTGCAGCATAGATTTATTCAAGCCTATACCCAAGAATCTGGTCAAGTTCAACACTGAATTGGCTCCAGATAAGAGTCCATGAAATGGACTCTTGAGCACTTGTGGGAATGCAACAATTCTAAGCTGATAACATGCTTAATTCCACTCTCCCAAGCTCTGCTTGCTCTTCTCCTACAGCACCTCATTGTAAGGGCAAGGATTCATAATGCCAGCTGGTATTATTAATGCAAATAGTTGACACTATAATAGTACAGAGTACTGTTTCATTGATGAAAGTCAACTCAGCTTTACATACAGCTCTAAGCTGTATTGTTTGACGGTGTTATCCTGGTCTGATTCACACCTAAGTCCCAAAGTCCATGCTTTGAAAGACAAAATCTCTTTGGGGTTCCTGCATCTACAACCTGTAGCAAAAATCTACAGAGAAACATAGCAGCCCATGAATCAGGCTATTAAATGGGTTATGTTTTTAACACCACAAATGGGATTGGAGAATTTACCCCTAAAAGAATTATATTCTCGTGTAGTTCTATGTGATGGACAGGAAAGACTGAATACAGAATAATCAAGAGTTGGAAGGGCCCTTGGAGGTCCCTGCTCTAGCCGGAAACCTATAATATTTCAGACAACTGTCCAAATTCCTCTTTAAAACTTCCACTGTTGGAGCACCTACAACTTCTGAGCGTTAATGCTCTCAGATCTAGAGCCAGAAGATTTTGCTGGATTTTGTCTAGGCCTGGATCCAAATCAGAAGAAGACCAAGGAGAATGCTGGCATTTATACCCAACGGTAAGTTCTAGAGATCTGCAAGAGAACACACCTCGGCTGTTGTAATCTTAAGAAAGGACTTTGATTATGCTTACCCTGATAACATTTTAACTGGAGATAAGAGAATAAGAGGCTCTGTGACGACAGTCCAGTCATTGCTCTCCATATGCAAGAAAGGAAGAGGACAGTCTGGATTTAAACGATGGACTCACCTTCTTCTTTATTGTTGGTGATGTCTTTCAACAGCTCTGTCTTCATACAGTTCTCTCGTTTGGTCTCTCCCTTACTCATCGGAGCTTGCTAAAGGGGAGAAGGGAAGAAAAGGGTTAAGAAACAGGGAATATAAATAAACAAATAAGCAGTGTTTGGCTTTATGAAGAGGCAACACACACTGCTGAACAAGAAGCACTTTAATCTCTACAATTCACAAAGAAAGGAAGTGGACTGTCTAGACTTCAAAGATTAATTGATTTGTAAAATTTACAGGCCACCCATCTTCCCTCAAGGTAACTCTGGGTGTTACCTTCTTTCTCTGAACTCACCTTCTTCCTTCTGGGAATTCAACACCCCCCACCCCACCCCAGGTCAATGTCCACTTTATGATTTAAACCAAGTCATTGGTCCATTTTACTCCACGGTATGGTGATTTTAGTAAAGGCAAGTTGGTTAAATCCACAGGTGGTTGAAAGATGACTCAAAAAAATCAACCCTGATCTCTACAGCATCTCACAAACAATCGGCTGTGTTGGGTTGTCTTGCTTATTTGGGTTCTGAGTGGTCCTTGGTGATTTTTGGGGCTTGGTTGTTTTCTTGTAGACATGTCAAGATGTTCATGAAACGTCTGCAAGCAAAGAGCCAAGTTCAGAGATCATCCCACAGTTCAACCCCAGCTACAAATAATTATACTCTATTCTTGGAATATTGAGTTGAAATTCTCTGGGTTTATTTGTTTTTTTTAAAGGTGGAAATAATTATGGGACTGTCATAGGAACAAGGATGATTCAGAAGTCCTAGGAATACTAAAATCTGGAGCTGCTACTTAGCACATTTTTTTTTTAGATCAATCTGCAGCATATAAGTCATATCTCATAGGATGGATTGTACGCAGCAACATAAATGTGTTTGCAAATCCATTCTTAAGAAACCCAGACAATATTTAGATGAGGACGTGGGAGTAAAAATATCCAACCCTGAATAAAGCATGACCATTATAAAGGAAGATTATGTCCTCTAAAAATCAGAGTTAAACTCATGGCTTCCAGCACCACTCAACACCAGCATTCCCAGAATATGTTTTGAGAATATACAAAGAACAAATGTTTTTTTAGTTTAGTTTAGTTTAGTTTAGTTTTTTAAAGCCTGGCCAGCCACATCATCAAAAGTGATCCCATTTTGTCTCAGGGGCGATACGGTTTTTAAATAGAACACAATAGAATTCTTTATTGGCCAAGTGTGATTGGACACACAAGGAATTTTGTCTTGGTGCACATAAGTTCCATTAGCTAGAATAGGAATTCAGAGAAGAGAGCTGCAGCAGGACAGGCCTCAAAAAACCTTCCAAACCTCGTTGAAATCAAGCGACCTTCTCTCTGGAGTCAAGACCGAACTTGAGGAACGGGTAGGATTTTAAGCTTGTGAAGTGTCCCTTATCTTATCTCCCCCCCCCCCACTTTGAAGATTGTTTTAACCGGTCCATATTCTAACTTCCCTTTGTCCTTGGGCCTTCCAAAACCCTTGGCTGAAGACTTTCTTCTCTTACATCCCAGCAACCCCCCCAAAGAGGCTTTGGGGCAAGCATTCCATTACACACACACACACACACACACCAGCTCTTGCTCCTGTCCACTTCTGCAATGCAAGGAAGACCCTCCGAATGCCAAGCTTAGCCTGGGCTCAAGGCAAGACTAAAGGGAACCCCGCCAGATGGCCGCCTAACCCTTCGACAAAAGGGAGCCCAGCGTTCCTCTGGTTGGCTCTTGGGCCTCTTTCGGCTCTTAAGGAGCATGGCCAACATCTGAAGCTCAACCTTTACAAGCCACCACCACCACCACCCCGCCTTTTTTTTTTTTGCTTCCTTCCGTCTTGCACCTTATGGCTCTTCACCCAAACACCGTGTTTTTCTTCCCTCTTTAGCTCTCTCAGCTGAGCCCCAAAACTCAACAGCCAGAGGTCGAAGTGCCCCCCCCCCCCGTTGGCCCTTTGTCTCGCAAGGAGAAAAGACAGCCCATCCACCAACTGTTTTCG